AGATGCCGTGATAATTTCTTCAGACATTTCTTTAGTAAAAACAAGACGAACCAAATGCCAAGCGAACTTTAAAAATAACAGTAGTCTTTTTTCGCGACTGAATATTGGTGAGCCTTAGTTTGTTGTCATATGGTAGTTTACTCTTTTCTTTACTCACTCATACTACACATATCTACTATAACATACGACTTCATTCTTGAAAAAAAAACTATATTGACTCCCAAGATATTTTAAATTTGAAGTCTGCACAATGCGTATTATCCATTTACATATTTATAGTTCACAAACATCTGTAAATAATATTTTATTTTCTATTATAGCTGTTTTACATTGACAATTTATTCATGAATAAATTGATGAAGTTCTTCATGAATTAATTCACGAATTTATTGGTAAACAGTGTGGTTTTACACTGCTACAGACTTTGTCAGGCCCGGTCTGACTCATTCGGGGGTCGTCGGGAAAAATCGAAATCGGGGCCTATTTGGATTTGTCTGTTATTAGGGTGCATATCGACTCTCCCAGGGAAAACTGTCGTATCTCAAATTTGGTTATACTGAGATAATTGCATTTGAATAGTTGAGAAAATAATAATGTTCGTTATTTTTTTTATTACAAGAGCTAAATCGTTCTTCTTTAACATAGTAATTATTGTTTAGGTCTTAATTAATTATTGATGGTCTAAATGAAATAGTTTAGGATAAGAAAAAAATGGATTTTGAATTAGTTACTACAGTTTTCGTGGACAAAATTTGTATTGAGATATAACTTGCTAAACTAATAAGCTACAGTAAAATTAAACATGTTCTATTTTTAGATAAAAAAAAATTGTTAATAATCAATAATGACATAAAAGGAAAATTTATTACGATTTAGAGTCAGTCATCTTCTTGGTCAATATTACTTTCTTCCTGGTGGTCAGTCTTACTAGCAGGCCGAAGGGAGTTGTAAAATCCACGATACATCGGTGGTATCAAATTAGCCTTACACAGACCCAAAAGACCGCTTAATTTTTTAACCATAAATTGGCAGCAAATCTTGATATAATCTTGGAAATTGATATTCTTCGCGTTTGCGTGTCTAGTTCGTTATGATTTTTTCTAAAATTATACACATAAAATACTTTATTGGGAGACTGGATTGCAATGGATTTCTCTGATTTTGCTGATTTTTACAGCCTCTCCAGTAATATCTTTTTTCCAGTTTTGTTTCTTTACCATTGGTTTAAAAGTTACAAAATCTTCTTGAGACATTTCTTTTACTTTGTACTGTGGGGCAGTAACTTTGGCCATATTTATTAGACTAATCCACTGATCAGGACTATCAGGAGTGTATATATAGCAGAGTGACGTTTTTTTGCAACTTCAATCACAGCATGCATGCTGTCATTTTATTCTACTGCTTGTGGCCAATTTCAATAAGACGGTGTGTTATTTTCAAGTCAAAAGTCATTGATGCATAAGCAAACATCGCAAAAACAAAACGATTACGGTTTTGACCACCGCAATTGTCGGAATAAAAGAATAACCTTTCGTATGCCATTTTCTTTAACACTTTTTAAAAAGATCCATAAACAACTTTCAATTTCATCCGGTCCTCTCTTCGATATTTGCTCATGCCATACATAGCAATAGCCTTGATTGCTACCTACATCATAAATTGTAAAGTTGTATGTTGTGATTTTACTTTTATAATAAAAATCGCTGACTTGGGCGTTACTATAACCTCTTCTGCAAATCAAAGCATGCTGTTATTAGAAATTTATCATTTTTCGAAAATTCTTTATCAATGTCTTTCAGATTTCGAACCGCGATTTTGTTTAAATTATTATTATCACAATCATCTTCCATTTTTCTGTTCTCTTCTCGGGATCTGTATTCTTATAGGCACTACACACGGAACACTGATCTTTTTTTGGCTTATATAAAGCTATATTAAATTTCGAAGTAAGAGTATCTCTGTACTGTTTGAGTGTTGCTACTGCATCCCATTTTTGTTGTTTTGCATATTCTAAATACATTCTGTGCATTCGTGAAATACTCGAACCTTCTTCCAAGTACATTCGTTTTGAGTTTTTTCTTGTATAATGAGAAGGCATATGTGGAAAAAGTTTTATGTGTTCCATAATGTTTTTTATTAGAGCAACCGGGTTCTTATGCGGTCTAGTGTTGTGTTTTCCTCTTCTATCCCGTTCTACAGTACCACCTTCGTCAATTTTTTGCAAAGCGGTGCTTACAACTGTTTCAGAAAGTAAGCGTATTTAAGAACATCGTTTTGCAAATTTGTTTCTCATTATTGTCAATGACAAACTTATAATTGCGAGAGAAATTCCTTCTGGAATATTTATTATGTACAGTCACCTGCTTTTTTTCTCGTTGTGTCACGCACCTTACAAAAAAATCCCACTGCCGAGTATGATATCCAAGGTTCCAAAATTCGTCAAAAATGACTTTTCTAGCTTCTTCATTTATTATTTTGTTGCATTTATATCTGCAAGTTTCTTTACAAGGTGATTTCATTACCTTTGCAAAAATAAGTTTGTCTACGATTTTTATGTAATAAAAATTTTATTCAAATTTTAATTTATAAATTGATTCTGTCTCACTTACGCAGCGTGCAACGCGCAAACGCGGCAGGCATGACAGAAGCTATTTACATGTTTTCATCTGGATCGAATTTGCAAGACAAACTCTCCCATCTATTTGCAGCTCAAATTAAAGCTTATTAGTTATTTCAAGCACCATCTTTAAAATATTAAAAATATACTTTTAATATACTTACCCTTGCAGTACCTACTTATTCCGTTTTTAAATATTTTTTTTAACAGAAAAAAACTCATTCTGATAGGTCTCTGAATCGTCATTTCTCCGGCTACAATCTACGAATATCTATTTGCAGTTCAAATTAAAGCTCATTTCAAGCGCTATGCCGCTATCTGTGGGAATATAGGTACTTAAGGAGGTTCGATACCAAAAGAAAAATGGTAAGAATATATTCAAAGCAATTGAAATCTATTAATAAATATGCAAACTGACTTGTGTAAAAATATCAGATCGATTGACAACGTAGTTTTTTTGAAAAATGATTTTAAAAATTATGCTCTTTTACACAGGCTCTTAGGGAGTTGGGTAAAAACTTTAATCAAACGTGAATATTGCTCTTAAAAATGGTTAGGATCGGAAAAATAAAATTGTAATTAAAGAATTAAATATTACTAAACATTTTAAAACAATAAAAATATGCACTTACAATGTAATTATTGAGATAATGGAATGAATAGATAACGTTTTGACAAATTTGAACAAACATCTGATCCAATGAAAGGAAATATGGCAACACTGTACGCTGTATTTAATGCTTCGACTGATGCGTTATATGTATTTGAATAGCTCGATTATAGATTATAAAATTATTCCAGTCGAAAATATATGTAGTAATAATTAATATTAAATAAATTTTTCGTGATCTAAAGCAATATACCAGCAATTTGAAACAAAAATTGAAAGGATCTCTTTGCAAAACGAACAGTATAGATGTTACGTCATAATCTTCAATTTGACAAGTCGACGTCTCCCTATCATACACTAAACTTCTTGATAGTTATCATATATAATTTTACAAGCTCGTAATGAATAAATAGATTTCACAGATTTTATTTACGCTATAACTCTATACTCTCTATAGGCTACGTTCAAACTATTATTAGTTTTAAAATTATATAAAATTACCTATATTAATATAGGTAATAAACTCGGTTATTATTTATATTCTCATTTTTTCTTCCGAGCACATAACTTATACGACTATAGGGTAAAGGGTTACTATAAGATTAAAAGATTTACAGTTTGGAAGATATTAATTTCTCTCGTTTTCCTCCAAACTCACGGCTTATAGATAAAGGAGTTATTATTTTAAAGGGCTTACGGTTTTGAATATATATTTATGTCTCTCTTTCTTTCCTGTAGGTACACTGTTTATAGGGGTATAGGGTAAAATAATAAAATTTGTGTTATTTTTTTGACCTGGGAAAATCCCATTTCTATAAAAGATTACATTTTCATTTTTACGTTCTTCTTTTTTCTTTTCAAGTTACGGTTTTGCCGACTGCCCGACCTGGCCAGACCGGGCCTGGACTTTGTCAAGTTTTTTGATGTATGAATCAGTTCTACCAATGAGTCAAAGAAGCAATAAATTTAAAAAATGTCACCTTTCCGTTCATAATTGTAGTGATACAACAGCGGTACCGTTTTGACACATATTATATAAATCTTAGTGTTTGTAAGTAACAAATCAGTAAAAACAATGCAAAACCAGTACGACGCCACACACTTATTTACAAATTCCAATAACGTAACCTCATTACTGATCTGAGGCTAGAAATCTGTTGGGTTGGTACTTCCGAATTTCACGAAGAAAATTAGAACATGCTCTAATTCGTCAAGAACTTGATGAATAAATTCATGAAGTTATTTGACAGCAGATTTGGTGCATTACACTTGTCCAATTTCATGATGAAGCGACTTCTCATGAATTAATTGATCAATAAATTGTCAATGTAAAACAGCTATTAGAAATGATACCTTCAAGAGAAATAGGCAGAGGCTATAAAATGGAATACGCAACCAAACTAATCCGAAACTGGAGATTTGCAATATGTTCGAAATTGTCTTGATATTGATCGACTAGGTATGCAATATGCTGTGATTTCACTAAACGTCAACAGGTGTCGCCCACTCCGAGTTTCGTCAATATTTTTTATGGGCGGAGTCCTAACGATTATTATTATTTTTTTTTTAGGTAATTAATTCGTATTCGTAGGATTCGTAGATCTAGTACATGTTTTGTTTTCCTTAGATTTAATAAAATTTTATTTAATAAAGAGGTTGTTAAACGCACGGATAACGGAACACGATAAAACGGTATGCTCTATGCTGTCAGTATCAAGTGCGCATGTATAATAACATAAAGGAAAACTACTACGTCGACGTCGACTCCATTGCTTCTAAAGAGGGGTGGAATTGAGGAGTGGAATATCGCTGTCATTACTCATTCGCTTTCAATTGGAAATAGGAAGTACAAGTTGATCTACATAAAAGTGTTGTATTGTTCAGTATACTGTATTTTTATTAGTTCAAGGGTAAAGTGTGTCAAAAAACTACAAAAATGGGCTCCTTATTTCGGAGTGCTGAAATGACACTATGTCAGTTATTTTTGCAAAGTGAAGCTGCATATGCTTGTGTATCGGAACTTGGTGAACTCGGCCTTGTCCAATTTAGAGATGTAAGTATAAAATTGCATTGGTTAATCCAAATAAATATTTGTCTAACTGCATAGCTAAATCCTGATGTGAACGCTTTCCAACGGAAATTTGTTAATGAAGTGAGGCGTTGCGATGAAATGGAAAGAAAATTGCGTTACCTAGAAAAGGAAATAAAGAAAGATGGTATTCCTATGCTTGATACAGGGGAAAACCCAGAAGCTCCTCAACCTAGAGAAATGATTGATTTAGAGGTAAAAATTGGCATTAAATTATTTTTAACCAATCTAATATTTTTCTTATTAGGCCACATTTGAGAAACTTGAAAACGAACTTCGGGAAGTTAATCAGAATGCAGAAGCACTGAAGAGAAATTTTTTGGAATTAACAGAACTTAAGCAGATATTGCGCAAAACCCAAGTCTTCTTCGATGAAGTGAGTATATCTAAAATTATTAAATTAATTCACCTAGCATGATATATTGGTATCTATTTGTGATAATTATATATAGGTATTTTTTAAATGTATAACAAATAGTCCCAACATTCTTTCCAGTAATTACCCTTCTATTCTGTACCAGTAAATAAAAATTTGAAGATTCAAATAATAACACGTTTTGTGTTACAAGTTACAAACCAAATGAATATTACGCCATGTCATAAATACATAATTTTACAGGATACAGGGGATATTTATTTTAAGATATTGATGTATATCAAGGTGCGGTATTGAGTAGGTCCTATATAATTTATTAGAATAGATTTTTGTTTTTAAGAACTGCGAATGTTGTGACTTTATTGCTGTGAAATACTCTTATTATTTTTGTCAAAGCGAATGTAAGTGTTTTAAACAGATATGCCAAATCATTTAATTACTCAATTAAAAGATGCTGTATTTAATTAACATTTAGACAATATTAGCAGTCCTTAACCCTTTCTACGTAACTTGGTTCTAAGGAATAATTAAATATACAATTACATATTTTCAATCTTGTAATCAAATGGTGAAAATAATTATGTATTTCTATTTTTTTTTATACGATCGTGTCATTTTTTCAAAGAAAATAATTTAATAATTCTTAATTTTTGTTTGGCATTATCTAATTTTTGTATATTTTAATAACGTAGTGTAGAAAATTTAAAAATTTTGCCCAGAGCATACAAGTCATGGTGTAGGTTCTATGTTTATTTGCCTTCACAATTTGAATTTTAGATTGTAGAGGAACAAATTTAGATAGACAGGTGCTTTTTGTTTCTCTTAAAATATAGGTACATATCTCTTAAAAAATTGATGGAAAATGATGTTCATTGATCATTATTTATGTTGAGAAGTAGAAAATATCTGTTTTTGTCATCAAAAATAGTATTTTGAAATTTAAAGACGTAGATAAATGCAAAGAGCACCACAGCTCAGCTCAGCTCAGCTCAGCTCAGCACAACCTCTAGGCTCAGCTTTGGAATTTTCTACAACATAAACACCATACCAATAAAAAATATTAAAAATATTAATATTAATAAAAATATTATTTCTTATTACTTTACTAATCATTATCTTTTTATATATTTTAAAAATTACCAAGTTGCTAGATAGGTTTTTTTACTACTCGGTTTAATAGCTCTGTCTACTAATATACTGAAGTATCAAAGTGGTATATCAAAAGCTTCAAGTAACAAATATATGAAAGTAATATATTTTATTGTCATTCTGAGTAAACAATTTTATTTAACATGTAAATATTATACCTCAATATTGTTTTGTATTCTAATTAGTTTAAAGTAAGTATTTATTTATTCTTTGACTGACTGAATATTTGTGGTTATGAAGAAAATTTCAATAAGGGGAAAACAAGTTGATTTTTTCCAGTTAATATACAGGGTGTTACCTAAGTCTATGTTATTAGCTCCGAAAGTGGACATACAGTGTCATAGATAGCAGTGGTAGTTTTGAGCCTAAAATAATCTAAGGAATAATTTCCTGAAAATCATTTTTTTTTTGGAATAATTGTCAATTTTTAATTCCAAGTTGCAGGGTTATTACAAATTTGATAAGTTGTATTAGGTAAAATGAGATAATAGGTAGAAATAGATTTTTTCTCTATAGATTTTAATAACTGCTAACGATTTCATTCTTAATAAATAAATTTCATTTTCACTGAGTGTGTTTTCTATGGCTTCATGGGCTTATTGGATACCTTAAAAATTATGGGATCAGTCTCTTTCTTCATTGTATTTCACATTGAATTGCCTATATAATGATTTTTAAATAGCTTCCTTTCCTTTTACTGGTATAAATAATTAAAATACCTATAGCATTCACTTAAAAAACTACTGTCCTCAATGTTTATGGATTTCTGTTTTTATTTTAATTATTTATTTTATCTGATATGATTGAGTTTGAATAAATATGAGGCAAACTTCAGTAAATTTAATGTCGCTGGTGTTTTTATATTATCAAAAAATCATTAAACTTTTAATTGTTATCTACATCTTCTATTCGAGATTTACTTAATTTATTAATGTAATTATGATCATTAATAAAAACTACATTGCCTATGTATTAATGTTGTCAACATTAGTATAACATCTAATAGTTGCAGCATCTCTTTGTATTCTTTCACATAATGTTTTTTATGTATTACAACCCAACTTTCTTTGACGTTCAGATTATATAATTTGTTATTACAATTCCATTCATTTTCAAGGGTCTGTTTTTTTTTATTTGTTGTAAAAGGTTAATCTGAAAATTAAAAAAAAAACATTTTATCTTCGGATTGTTTTTTAAACCTGCAGGTAAATATTTTGTGTTACCTATATTATTTTTTTTTTTGTTGGAACTTTCACTGGAATTGTGCATAGTCTAGTCTTATTATTATTATTGTTACTATCGATCTCCCATTGTGAGTCTCAGTTCACGGAATTATACTAAAAAGAGAAAATAACTATCAAATATTAATATACCTATATAAGATATAATTTAATTATTTTGCTATAAACTTCCTAATCTGCTTCTAGCTTAGCAAAAGTACGTTAGTGAAAGAAATGACATTGGATTGAGTAAAAAATGAAATTACCTATTCTTTGTAGTTGTAGCATAGTAATACTTTATTATTCATCATTAATTTTCTTATTTGCCATGAAGGACTGCTAATTTTATTCTACCGTTTTTACTATTAAAGAAAAATTCTTTTTAAACATATGCAATTTTTAATAAGTTGTTTTGAAATTAGGACTGCCAAGACCATTTTTCGAATACAAACTCATCTCCAGAAATACAAAGTCAAACAAATCTGACAGACCATTTCCTTTTTTTGTAAGTGATAGAAGTTTGAGGGTTTTACTCTAACAATTGAATACAGCATCTTACATTGCATGTTTTTTTAACCCCAATAATATTTTTATTTGATTTCTTGTAGATTGAATTAATTAATATATCTAACAACTGTTTTATTTTTAATTAATTTTATGTACTAACTTATGTTTTGAGTAGGGAATTTTCATTTCAGTAAATTTCAGAAATTTGAATTATTTATTACCTAATTATTATATCAACAGCCTGGGGTCACATTGCCAATAAAATATATTTTAGATGCCATAGGGTTATTAGATTGTGGTGGAGGTTACTTGCTTAAATGAATTATGTTAGTAGACGTTTTCAGTATTTGCTTAAATTGATGTCCATTGAATTGTATGAACAATTGTACATATATGATTTTTGCAAATATAAAATAATAATCTAATAAACTCCAATTAATTTACTTATTTTCACAACAAAGTGTGTGTAATTTGGTACAAAGCTTAAAAGGAACAATATTCTTTTTGAGGTAGTATCTAATCATAATAGAATACCTCTGTGATATTCCAACTAATATGTAGGTATGGACTTCACATTGCTGGATAAAGTATATAGGTAGCTAATAGAAGCGTTTGTTAATTATGTTTCTTATGATTTTGTAGTCAAATGCGACAATTATTTTTAATACAAAGGGATTTGGAGTCATTGACAGTGAAATATATTTTAGCTTTATGTTTTGGTTACTTCATATGTGATGTTGCAATCTTACATTAATACTTGTGAGGTGTATTTTATCACCTTTAAAATATGTCTTAGTAGAGATTTTATTATATTTTAACAGAATTTCTAAAGTGTGTGGGTAGGTATCTAAAAATTTAGTACCTATTGTAAGATCTTTATAATTTTATTTTGTTTGATTTTATTTAGATTTTTTTACAAAAGATGGGGTCAATGACTTTATTTTAAGGCCACCATTCTAAAATGCAAGGTCACATAAAGCACCAAAATAGTTCGAAATACTTCGGGAACTTGTCATTCTTTTATTGTAATTTGTTTTACATAAATTGTCAGAAGGGCCAAATGGTTTAAATTCAACTTTAAGTTACAAAATGTCAAATGATTTCATTAACGTTTCTTAACATTATAAAATATATAAAATATCGAGAATTGTTATGTACCTACTTATTAATTAAAATGCGATTATGGAGTACCGCACATAGCACGGCATCAAATCTTAGACCAGTGTCTCGAATAGAGCATAACCCAATAACATTGAGAGTTGCTTTCGGTGTGCAGCAAATAAAACTTTCTCTCAACGGGAAAATAACGGTATTTTATTGAAAACAAAAGTGTAGAGAAAAAGATATATTGTTGGGGCGAGCGTTCGCTGGAGAGTCGTCGTGGTGTGGAGTCCCTCGCAGGTATAAGTATCTGGTCCTTGGCGCCAATCTGCCGTGGTTCTCTTCCGGGAACCATATCCCGCGTTGCACATTGTTTCTTGTCGCTTGCAACGGTTAGGCTGTCCGGCGTCAGGCTGGCGCTCTGGACGTAATACTTAAAATGGGTAACTTGCGGACATGGGTACCCACAACATCTTTATTGTCGTACCGCGCTTCAACATTCAAAGACAGTATATTTTTAATTACTTACTAACTTTAGCATTTTAAACATGAGTTTTTCTTCATCTTCGTAGTCGGACATCTTTATGCCTAGAAAATATAGTCAGCGTTTTTTACTGCTTATTAGCTTTTCTTCGTTTATCGTGCGCAATGCGAGGGTCCAAAATTACTATGCTCGACATCGTTGTGCGAGGCTCTGGTCCAAGGTCTGTTGCAGTGCTATGTGCTACTTAGATATATTTAACTTAAAAAATTAATAAGTTAATAGTTATAAATAATTATTGTAAAGAATAAGTAACAAAATCATTATTTAAAGAAATTCAAAAATTGTTCAAGGCGAATATGCTTTTTTAGATAAAGAATTTAATATCCAAATGCTTCGGCTCGTAGAGTGCTGTCTGTTGCGACAAACATTGATCATGTAGTCTTCTGTGCCCAAACCTTAGCTGTTTGTGACCGCTGACAAACAAAGAATGACAAAACATATATTTCGCCTATATTTTTTAATTAATCAATTGACATATT